GTGGGGTTTCTCCATGTTGCCCAGGCTGGTCTCGAACTCCTGCACTCTAAGTGATCCGCCTGCCTCGGCCTTCCAAAATGTTGGATTACAGGCGTAAGCCACCTTTTTTATGTGGTGTGTTATCCTCTGTGTGTCCTGGTCATAGAATACACAAAATATATACTCACACTTAATTTCTTTTAGAGACTGCTAGATAGCTCTCCAAAGTTGTATTAATGGATATTCCCAGTAGCAATGTGTAAGAGTTTCTGTTTCCGCGCATTCTTGCCAGCATTGAATATTTCTGGACTTTGTAATTTTTGCTAGTCTGATGATCATAAAGTAGTTTTTCACTGTTTGGATTTTAAATCCCTGATAACCAGTGAGATAGCATCTCTTCTAATATTAATTAAACATTTAACTCTTCCTTTCTATGTATTTTCTGCTTACACCCTTTGTTCACTTTTCTTGTATATTTGTCTTGTTGATTCATAAGGGTTCCTAGTATATTCTGTATAATAAACCTTTGTTTGAGTTATGTATTAATAAAATTCTTCTCTTAATCTTCACCTTGTTAACCTTGTGTAGAGTATCTTCAATGACTCCATCAATTTCAGTCTTCAGTTCTGATGTATAATTTATTAGGCAGATAGGTTATGAACTTGATGTATTTTTGTTCTTTCTCAAGTCTAAAGCTAAAAATTCCCAGTTAATTTAAGTTGAGATATCAATGGACAGCACTGAACAGAAGTAAAAGTGTATAATCTTTAGGGAGTACTGGGTGGAGACAGGAAACTTGCATTTAAAGTTCTAGAAATGTCACTAATGAGCCTGCGACCTTAGAGAAGTCAGTTTATCTCCTTAACATCTTTTGGCCACAGTGTCTTGATCAATAAAACAAAATACTTAAACTATAGAGAATTGATATGAGTGTCTCCAAGGTGATAGGAAAATTATGTTTATTGTTAACTTATATGGACTCACAACTGAGAGAAAACTTATTTTAATGATAAAATGTAGAATAGTGATTAACTGTGGGAGCATTACTTGGCATACAGCACATGCATATTTGAACTAACGAATTTTATGAATACAATGACGCGCTGAGCTCTTTATGGCAAGAATGAGATTGTTTTAAGGTATAGCTTTATAGACAATGATGTCCTCAACCAGTAAATGGAAACTACCAATCAAAGATGTCTATATTTGGAGAGAGGACTGATGATCTCTTAACTCAGCAAAAAGTTTGCCTAACCGCTCGTTATAAATTATAGTCTGTTAAATTTAATCTAAGCTGTGTTATCTCACTTCAGTGCCTTGCTCAAAATCAGTTAGATAGCTTTTCCTTCCTGTTTTTTCTTTTTGTATCAAAGAAGGAACTTTATTTATTTGTTTGTTTTTGAGATGGAATCTTGCTGTGTCACCCAGTCTGGAGTGCGGTGACACCATCTTGGCTCATTGCAACCTCCACCTCCTGGGTTCAAGCAATTCTCCTGCCTCAGCCTCCTGAGTAGCTGGGACTACAGGTGTGC